GACAGGACACAGCCTTGCCGAACGCCTGACCGAATAGCGAAGAGTTCTGAGACTTTGTAGTGGACTAAAACCCGCGCAGTGGTGGAGCGGTAGTATGCTTTGATCATGTCGATTAGTTTTCGTAGTGCACCATCAAATGCCATTATCCGCAATAAGGAGTCACGATGGACGGAGTCGAACGCAGCGGCAAATTCAACAAAGCAGATAGTCGTTGGTTGTTGGTAGCTATGGCAGAATTCAAGGATCCTTCTCAGTGTGGATATCTGATCCACGCCCAGCACGAAATCCGGCCTGGTTGGTTCGCGTCCTGGAGTCGCGCACAGACTGGAACCGCCTGAGGAGAACAAAAATGAAAATATTGGCAGCAATGTCAGTAAGGCTTATGCCGCGCTAGTTCTCAGATGTTGTCTTGTCTCCCTTCCTGTGGACAGGCACAAGGATGCCTGAGCCCCAGTCCTCAGGAACGGTCTTGTGTCTCCATGCTTGTCCAATCACCTCATGGAACTAAGGCGCCAGCGTTTCGGCACAAGACTTGTAGATTCCAGCACGTATGCCGGCATCTCCCGGTGCCTTATTGTTGCGCAACCCTTTTATGGCATCAGCCATTTCTGCTTCAGAAGGCGGGTCGCATGACACTGGATAAGTGAAAGATGGAGGAGGCTCTACTAAAGATGGGAGCAGGGGGTGGTGGGCTCCATATCGATGTTGAAAAAGTGGTCGAAGTGCTTACACCAGCGTTCGAGCTTGGTCACGTTGTCAGCAATAAGGCTGCCATTCACATCACAAACTGAGTCACTCATCTTCAGCATTTAATAGGTTAGGAAATTCCTTAGATATCGAGAACCTTTAGGTTTAGCCCGATTGGGCCCACTTTTTTCTTGAATACACTCATTTGAACTCTTTTCTAGTAAACAGTATTTTACGCCTTAATGCTATTCAATGAACACAATTAAAAATTATGAAAGTCTGTTCGTGGATTCTAACGTGAATTCCAAATGTCAGGAAAGTGGTACCTCCCCTCTACTTGCCTCTTGCCTTCAAGAATTGGACATCGGTTTTTTCCGTGGATTATGAGGTTTTACTTTTATGTTGGTCATCACAAGTGTTTTTGCAGATAAATTCTTACCAATCGGCTATTAGATTCATTCCTCCCGTTCTGCGTTGGAATTAAGTTGTGAGCGCCGCCAGCCGCCACACAATGGCTAGTATTATAGGCAAAAGAACATTACCAACAAAGACTTTTGAAAATGCAATGAACATTTCTGTCATAACCAACCCTAGGTTTTGTACCACCCGAGGTTTAAACCCGTGACCTGTTTATAAGGATTCCAACGCTTTAATAGTTGAAACAAGTTTTTTTTGTTTTGTTTTACCGGTATCGATATGCAACATTGACCTCTGTCGACGGACGCTTATCCCTTGGAATATAGAAATGGTCATTTTTGTCTTCCTTGCCTTTGTCTTTTGAGAACATTCCACCATTGTGTGGGTGTTCACTAATTCAATACGTCGAAAAAAGACTTAACTCGACGCGCATAAGTGGGCGGAATTTTTATGTGTCTTCAAATTATACTTCAAGTGCGCATTCATTGCACGACTACCTCGCTATGTGTGTGGTCCCTGTCGGTGAAATCGAGTGGAATCTTCTTTGTTTTAATCAACCACTGCTCGAGCACATTATCCGGTTAAGATTAATTTTTGCTTCGCGTGACACCGTGTTGAGATGGGAGCGAACGTCTGCATCGCTGCCATGCTATCGACCACATTAATTTCACACAGATTATAATCTGGAGAATTGTCTAAAAGTGTTTCTAAATGTTGGGTTAAAGTATTAGCTATCGTGCAGTATTTAAGAGAGTTATTTTCGTTACGTCTGTATAATACTTTCAAACCGATATTTTTGTGGCCGCGTGCTAAAACTACACTCTGCTTAAAATTACTGCTTAATTAGACTATATTTTTCTCATGTGATTTTTATTGGACCTCTAATGCCTAATATAAGTTATAGAATGCGGTCACAATAATTATTTTCCGCACTCATTTATTGGGAACTAAGGAATTATTCAAATAACATCCCTGAAGACTATATATATTTGAAATGAATAAAGTTATGGATTAGGGAATTTGTATAGTCAAGAAACGTCAATTCATAGGGCATCGTATCTATTACGTTATTTATACGAAAAACATTAATGAGCAGTATGTGAACTCTTCCGAATTGCCTTAATAGTTTTACCTCGATTCATACAAAGTCATAACTGAAATTGGACTTCGCAATGCAGCGTTCATTTTATCACGAGGTAATAAGTGGATTTCACCCACAGGCAGTCTTAAGGTAAGAAAAATTGCCTGTCCGTTTCAGTTTATTGACGGGTAGCAGCCGGAATTCTTGCGAAATTGGAGGTTAAACAAATTTGCTATGGCATTTAGTACGGTAGAGCCAAACAGTTAAAGTATTGTGCGTTTTGCTATTGGACAACGCCAATATACAAAAGAAACAATTAAAATAATCCCTTTCGCAACCGAACAAAATAAGTGAAGTTGATAAAAATCAGCTAAAACCAATTCCAAGGAATCACATCATTTTTTTCAGAAATAAGGAAAATAGGGAAGTATTTCACTTTAAGAGTTTTCATATAAAAGCCTAAAAAAATCAACAGGCATTGACAAAGGCTTGAAAAGACTGTACCTTTCGAATTCAGAGGACGACCTTAAACTTAGTATAAGCCAATACCTACAATATATGTCATGAAAGTAACTTTGATATGACGAAAGTAATCTGGCTATGATTTAACCCAATGATTAGGCTAATCTTTCTTGTCCTAATTTATGGCAATTTTTCACTTACGGGGAACATGAATATGCTTCAGAAAATGTGGTTTTGCTAAAGAAACAACTATTACTTTTTATATTTGTTTTGAGTCACTCATGTGCTTATTGTGTTTAGCATTGTGTTAGTGTTTTCGTTCGCGCGTTAACGTCGGTTTGCGAGTGATTGACAAGTATTCGCATATTTTTTACATTTTGCATGATTTTCAGTTTGCAGTATATT